CTTCCTTTACTGGGTTTTCACAGTCTGAGCCACTATCCACGAGGACTAATAATCCAAGAACAGGTACTTGATAATTAAGAATAGCCCCTGTTGCCCAGACCCTGCTGAAATTATTCAAACTCGACATTCTAATCTTGCTTATCCTACCTCACCTATTCCTTAGCACAGAAACCACAGTAAAAACTGTTGCCCAAGGCTTTCCCTCTGCCTTTTGATTGACCCTGGTGGTTGTCTATATGGCCTCCCCATTCTCTTGGCAAGTGAATAATAAACTATCTTTTCAGTAGCATCCACCTACTGATCTGTTGACTGTACCATATCTTCAATTTTCTATTAATACACTGTATCTTAAAACAGCCCCCAGACTATAAATGAAATCAATATCTTCATCATTTGGGGAAAATTGTGATTCTACATTCTTGGTGCATAGTGATTTAAATTTTATTTCAGCAAGATTTTGAAATTCTAGAGTTAGATACAGAGAAAATATGGTATATAGACAGCATCCTTGAGTCATCACTTCCCTGAGGAATATTGATGATAAGGACTGGGAGGGAAGAATCACATCTATGCACAGTCATCAAACTTCCAAGAATATAGATAAAGAATATTGAAGGTGGACATGAGGAAGAAACAGATAAATATATAAAGGAAAATCCATAAAACTGACCAGACTTCTCAGAACAAACCCTATGGGCAAGGAAAGAGTGGGATGATGTAAAATACACAATGAAAAAGACTGCCACCCAAGAACACTATATCCTGCAAGACTCTCCTTCAGATACAAGGGAGAAATAAAGGTTTTCTCAGAAAAAAACAGAAGCTGACAACACCAGACCTCCCCTACAAGAAATATGGGAAGGGGGTCTTCTATGCAACTCATTGAGAAGAAACTCCATACATACCAAAAAAAAAAACCAAACAAACAAAAAAAAAAAAACCAGAACAATGAATTGAATGGAGGAAGAAAACCAAAAGCAACATACAAGTAACAAATCTTCACATATCAATAATGATCCTAAATGTAAATGGACTGATCTCATCAATCACAAGGTATGGAGTTCCCAGTTGAATCAAAGAACAATATCCAACTTTTTGTTGTCTCCAGGAGAATCACCTGAACTTCAAAGATAAACACAGACTCAAAGTAAAAGGTTGGAAAACAATCCAACAAGCAAAAAGGACCCAGAAAAAGGCAGGCAGCCATACTGAAATCAGATAAAATAGACTTCCAGGTAAAAATAATAACAAGACACAGATATGGACACTCTGTAATGATTTAGGGACCACTCCACCAGGAAGACATAACACTCATCAATACATACACAACAAAGGAGCATGAAAATATATAAAGTAACTATTGTCAATTCTGAAACCACACATTGGCAGCAACACAATAATCATTGGGGATTTAAATTTCCCTAATGCTCAACAATGTCAGATCAATCAGACAAGAAATAAACATAAATGAGGAATTAGATCACATGACCTTAATGGATATTTATAAGACACAGCACCCCACAAAAGGATAAATATACCTTCTCAAGTGCACATGGAACATATTTCAGAAAAAGCCACATCTGTGCTATGTCACAAAACAAATATCCATAAGTGCACAAATACTGAATTTACACCAAGTATCTTCTTTGTTCAAAATGGTATCAAGCTTGAAATTAACCACAAAAAGAAAACAGGAAAAACCTCTAATACATGGAGAAGAATAGCACACTTCTCAATGACTACTGGATAAATGAGGAAATCAAAGAAGAAGTTGAAAAATACCTGGAGGTAAATGAGAATAAAGACAAATTATCAGACACAGCAAAAGTGGTACCAATAGGAAAATATCTAGCAATCCAGGTCCACATCAAAAAGCAAGAGCTCAAATAAACAAGTTTACCTCTAACTCAAGATATCAGTAAAAGAAGAACAAATGAAACCAAAGCCAGTAAAAGGAAGGAAGTAATAACACACTTGAGAAATGAAGAAATGAATGAATATCTTCCGAGAGTTCACAAGTTGAGCACGTTACTTGTTGGAGCTTCTGGTATGTTCCCTTCATAAAACTGTTCTCAATTTTGGAAAGTCTGAAATTAGAATACATTGTTCTGTTCCATTTTTACATGACAAGCTATCTAAAACATTATTCATATTTTTCCAAGTTATTAACAGATTTAATATATCTTGGAATATTGTACCAAAAAAAAAGTTTAGTTATCCCTCAGAATATTCTGAGGAAACTACTGGCTTAGAGACAGATCATAAATACAATATTACTGAAAACAGCAAAATATCAGCTCTTAAAATATGTCAGACACTGTAGCAAACACACTATACACATTATTTTATTTATTTCTGATAATATGTATTGTCATTCTTCTTTCACAGATAAAAGAACTGAAGCTTAAAATGCTTAATGTGGTACAGCAGAATTGAACCTTGGTCAAGTTACTTTAGAGTGTACTTATTTAACAACTAATCCCAGACTTGAGTTAAGAAATTATGATTTTCTACATTGCTTAGAACCATTCTTAAAGTCCATTAAACATTTTGGGTCAATCTTCACCGCAAGAAAAATCCTACCAAGTCAAAATTCTGCTACCAAATGTACAATATTTTAGTACATCACAATCTTACCTCTAGTACTTCACTATAATTTGTTTTTAAATAACTCAAACAAATTTTTTAATTTGTTTTGAAGACCTGGTCACCGTTCACAGAGGTCTAGTTGGTTAAACAGTAAAATGAGCTGTTTTTAAGAAAAACACACCACTGGATATAAATCCACCAGTGGCATCACTAGTTCACATGGCTAATCTATTTTTAATTTTTTTGAGGAATTTCCATATTTTTCCCATAGTGGCTGGACCAATTTGTTTTCCCACCACAGTGTTCAAAGATTCCCATTTTTACCACATCCTTCATGAATATCCCAAAGGAAAGAACACAAGATTTTTAAGAAATATAGGCACTTCACATCTATTGCAGCATTATTCACACAAGATACAGAAACAACCTAAATGTCCATCAATGGATGGACAGGAATTATAGACATACAGTACCTACATATACAATGGACTATTGTTCAGTGATAAGAAAGGATATTCTGTCACATGTGACAATATGGGTGGACCTGAGTATATACTGAGATAACTTAGAGAAAGATATATTAGCATGTGATATTGCTTATATGTAGAAAATACAGAGTATAATGATGGGGATGGGAAGTGGGATAAGACTAACATTGTTTCAGGGTATCAACTTGCTACAAGCAGTAAATAAGTCATAGCATCAAGCACGGCATATGCTTTCAATATATATGTTTTACGCCAAATATATTTAATTAAGAGAAAAAGAGAAACTCCAGAATTGTTTATCTTCTAAAACGCTCGATAAAAGAGTAAATGCATGTTTGAACTCAAGCTGTTACCTGAGTTTCTCTGCTTGTTAGTGAATTTTCCCAAGGAATTTAGTCAAAAATCTCATGACATTAAGAGCCTGCCTTAGCCTTAATTATTCTATTTCCATTAGTCTAGTTTAATACATACCACAGAGGTCATCTCTAGATCCGATTTGCTACATTGAGGGAAAACTTATTCCTCTCTGTGGAATAATTATGTCTTCATAGGTTAGGCATTAAGTAACACATTGAGGATTCTTCCACTTCAATCATCCTGAACTTTGAATAGTTCTTTTAAACACACATTATGGGAAAGAAACTAATATGTAAATTTTGAATCTGTTCTTTTGTTTGTTTATATGTATGGCTCCAGTAAACAAAGTCGCCAAAAGTAAACTGAACTTTCTTGACACCTTTAGTTTCAGAATTCCCAGGAGTCACACTCAAAGATACTCCCTTCCCACTCCTGAATGCAAAAGAGGAATCAGTGAGTTGTTGATTAAGGCTTTTGAGCCTTTGCCAAACTTCAAACTTCCTAAGACACTAGTCAAATTGTAATTTAATATTTTTTAAAGATCCATCCCAGCCTAGACAAAAGTGAGGAGGTACATCTAAAGGCTTTCTTTCATTCCACAGCCATACATCACGTATCTACTATGTACTTGATGTAGCAGTAACTTTGTATTCTACTTCTTACTGAGGAGCAGGACAGTACTTGCAAGATACTAGAAATCCCCAAAGGGGCCACAGTGCTGAGCAATTTTAAACTCTACTCAGAATCTCAGATGTTAGGATGGGAAGAAACTCCAATAGTCTTTGGAACCTTACAGCTACATTTACTAAAACAAGCTGGGGAGAGGAGGTATGTTTATAAGCAAAATTCTTTCCTTAAGTGTGCACAGTCTCAGTCAGGCTCTAAATGCCTCTTGAATTTTCAAAAATGATGGAGACCCCATAAAGAGGGCCAACAGCTCCAGGAACCCAGGGGATTGCACCAGCATCCTTGGTAAAAGGCACTTTTTGAAACAAAATGTAATGCCCAGTGGAAGCCATACTGGTGGGACAGCCTCTGTGACTAGGTGCACACCCCTTTCAGACCTTTCCAAACTTCAGAGTTCCGCCCACCCGACAGAAAGTTTCAGGTGCCAGTGTAAGGTGGCCCATTCCCTTCGACGCGAAACGTGAAACACACAGGCCTGAAGAAAGGTCACATTTGCTCCTGTCTAGTTCTGCTCCTGAAGAGACTCCTGGCCAGGTATCTTGAGCCTCACTTTTCACATCTCTAAGCTATTATCAAGAGCAGCTCTCTAAGTCTATGCTGGCACCTGCAAAATTCCCCAACAGCAATGAAGACGTAAATGGACCCACTGGGGCCTTTGCTCGGCTGGAAGAGGTAGCTTCGCACTTCTGCTTAGCGAGAAGAACCAGGGAGTTACCCCACGGCCCCAGGCTAGCCCTACACCCGCACACACCTGCACTTAACAGGCGCCCGGGGCCTCCCAACAAGTAATTTACGCACAGCCGTGCCCTAAGCGCGCCGCGCGCCCACCCCGCGCGCCACCAGGGCCGCAACTTCCCAGCGGGACTCCCAGTACTTCACCATCAGTCACCGTCGCGTCCGCCTCCTCCCCTGCTGGGTGCACCACTAGCCGCAGAGATTTCGGATTGGGGGGCGACAGGGGCCCGGCCCCGAAGAGTTGCTCCTCCGTCACGAAGCGCAGCTGCACGCGGTACTGAAGAGGCGCCGCCGGGACCCTGCCCCGAGCCGGGGCCGCAGCCATGGTGCAGCGCCTGTGTCCAGAGCCCTCACGGCGCCTCTGCGCAGCTCCACGCTCTGAGCAACAGCTGGGGGGAAGGGGTGGGACTGGGGTGGGACTGGGGAGGGACTGGAAAGCGCCAGCCACCTTCCTCACCTCCGGCAAGTTCTATCTTCGACCTCTGAGATGCCTGCCGGCTTCTCTGCTGGCACCCCCGTCCTCCCCATCCACTCCACACGCAAGTCCGAGAACCGCTGGGAGGCTGCGACACCCCCTCGCGTCCCCCCAGGAGCGCGTTACAGACGTGCAGAGGGGCGCAAACACCCCGTGGGGCGGCGGCTGGAAACCCACAAGTTTGGAGAGCGCGCGAGGCACCTGGAGCCAACTGGAGTTTGGAAGCAGAAGGGTGACACCTGCTGTTCGCTGGACCGGCTCTACGGGAGTGGGCGTCGATTCGGAAATGCCTTGGCCTGGCCTTTCTGCTTAGAGGGCACCGGCTCTCCGGGCGGTCCTGGAGCTACGGGTGTGCACGTGTGAACAGCCTTCCCAGATACTGAGTGCTTTTTGCTTTAGCAAGATCCTGACTGCAACAGAGAGGTGATATGGAAGACCCGAAAGTGGGGCAACTGACTGGTTTTGAAAAACCACCATTGTTTCCACATAAACTATTTTCCCCCGACTTGGTCCACAGCCAGGAGGGACAGAAACTCATCTTCAAGTCCATACCCGACTCCAACAGCAATCAAACTAAACTAGTTGGCTCCAGAGTCAAAGGATGGAGGCTCCATACCCTGGAGAACCAAATTTACATGTTATTACTCTCTGTGCAGAGAAACTGGTTGACATCGAGTGGTTAAGGAAAAGGAAGCTGTTCTCTTTATGACCAGTCACCCACAGTCATAGATTCATGTGTCTGCAAATCCGTGACTTCCTGACAGAATGGCTTGCAGGGAGGAAGGATTACAAATCAATTCCAAGTCCATGAAGACAATGCCCTTAACTAGCAAGTGGACTTTACAAGAATGAACTTCCCTAGTGACCCTGAAGTCTGTAAATTCAGAATTTCCAACAGGGACTGTTAAACCCGGCCAGGCTTTATGAAACCCCAGATCTCCTTTATCTCCCTTACCCGCTCCCTGTTGTGCTATGTCCTCTTGTGGCCTTCAGCTCTTCCCTCATTCCCTCCCAAGGCTTTCTCTTCTCTTCTCAACCTGCTGCTTTTTCTCTTGTCTCTATTAACTAAAACACCCTGCTCTCTTTAAAGTCATTCTTATTTCACACTGCCTCGTGGCTTTGATGTGTGCCCTGGAAGCCAGTGGAATCAGATATTCTTGTTGAAACTATGGGAAGAGTTTCTGTGTGAGGGCACAGAACAACCCCATCCTACACACCCTGCATCCCACCCGCCACTGTTCTCTCTCCTGCATCTAGCCTCCTCAAAGTATCTTCCTTCCTTGCCCATTCTTTCCTAATTTCCCAAGCCCTGAATTAATGGTACCAAGTACTTTCATACTACCCAAATTCCTAGGTAGCTCTTGAAGCTTACAATCTTCATGTCAAAAACATCAACCTATGTATCTACCTCCCCTGGAAAGGACTGTGCATTCCTATGCTGTGTCTGGCTTTGATGCCACTGAATTTTGTAATTATCATCATTTTCTTTAGAAAAATAGTCTTACCAGTAATTCAAAAAACAAAACACCACCACCACCACCACAAGGGCTGTTTAGCCTTAACAGACTCCAACCTATTAGCTTGGAAGGCACGTCTGGGAGAGAGGGCAGATTTATGCTAAAACATGATAAGTGAATGAAAATCACTCATAAAGCACTCTAAAGGGGGCACTGATCTTAGATTTCCTAACATACTCTCAAGAAGCCCTAAATTCTGTCAACAAAAACACAATGGCTTTCTTCCATATTAATAAAGGGAGCAGAAACCCAACTTAGGGTAACGAGCAAAATATCAAAATAGTATGATTCACTACAAAACTGGAAAGTCTAAGCTTTGGTGATTTAGGGACTGTTTTACGGTTGAGCGGATGGTCTGTCTCCTTCTTACGTATAGTATTTAGGAACATGCTAACTGCTCTAACTCTCAATTAGCCTGGGTCAATTGAAAATGACTGGTTTGGGCCTCCCCGGTGGCGCAGCGGTTGAGCGCTGGGTTGCGAAGCTGCACACGGCCTCTGTGGTGCCGGTTCGATCCCCGGCTGCTCCCCGGCCACCGGAGGAGGGTCCGCACACAGACCTCTCCTGCTGCCCGCTGCTCCCCTCAGCAGTGTATTTCGTCAGTCTGCCTGCTCTGCTCCCCGCTCTGGCTCTGGTGAATTCTCTCACCCTCCCGCACTTCTGACTGTACCCAGTGCATGTATAAACAAATAAATAAATAAATAAATGCCTCTATTAAAAAAAAAATTAATAAAAAAAAGAAAAAAAAAAAAGAAAATGACTGGTTTGTTGTGATAGGTCTACCCAATTTGTGATTTGAACCAGGGAGACTGTTAAATCTGCCCCCAGTTTGTAATTTTAACCAGGGAGACTGGAAGTTTTACAGAACTTATATCATCTGAATGAGGGATGCACAGATTACCAAGAGGAGGAGGTAGTTGGGATATCAAAGCAAGTAATATTCAAAAGGTCTAACACTCACACTTGTGCTTGCACTTAGCATAAGTGGCACTTAACATATTACATACATTTGTTCATTTATCTCTCCCCACAACCCTGTGAGAGAGGTATCATTATTATGCTCATTTTTTTAAAGATTTATTTATGTAAAGGCAGGAATGGACACGGTGCAGGTTTTCTGATCCAGCAGACCAGGTAAAGGAGGAATCAGAGTCCTTAGTGGCTTTTGCAGGTCTTTTTATTGGGATTTACCCAGTACACAGCAGGTAATGGTGCTGGGGGGCCGGGAGGCTGGCAGGCCTCCCAGGCCCCAGCAAGTCTTCATTCTCTCTGGGCTCTCTGGTGTTCTCTGCTTCTGCTTTGCTTCTCTCTCAGCTTCTCTCCGGCTTCTCTTTCGACTTCTGCTGCTGGCGCTGGCGTCCCCGTGACGCTGCCCTTAAAAAGCACAGTCTTAGCACAGGTGTACCCACTTCAGGTGCCCGCCATTAGGCATGCATTCAGGATCACAGGGTTCCCTCATCTATCCTGATGGCGGGAGGGTAGAAAAGCCTGATTTTTTACCTTACCCTACAATTTATTTATACAAGAACCAGAGTACAGACCAGATGTGTGGGAGGGTGAGAGGATTCATCAGAGACAGAGCAGGGAACAGAACAGGCAGACTGACTGAAATACACTGCTGAGGGGAGTAGCACAGCAGAGACAGGAAACAGGAACAGAGACAGGAAAGGTCTGCCACGCCATGTGGGTATCTCATCGGCCTGCTGAGATTGAACCTGCACTATAGAGGCTGCTGCCAACAGCTTCACAGTGCTGTGCTCAACCACCTGTGCCACCAGGGAGGCCCATTATTATCCTCATTTTTAATGATGAGGAAACTAAGGCACAAAGACTATCTTGCCCAAAGGTAGAGCTTAGAAGCGGCATGAGTCCTCTCCAACAGTTCCAACACAAAAACAAGTCTGTGAATAGCTCTTACTACTACTTCTCAAGGTTAGAATATGCTAGCATTCCAGATGGGTACAGCTCAAGAACTTTGAGTCCTCAGAACTGTGAGCACAGAAATATTTAAAAGGTTCCCACTTGCTTAGCGCTCATCCTCCTCCTCTCACATAGAAAGTTAAGAATTCTTTAGACCTTTTCTTCCTTAAGTGTTTCACCTTCCAGTAGTTTTGTTTATACTTGAACAGTGTAAGTACTAGCAGAAGGTTCCATTAATCACTTCTTCTGTAAGAAGGTAGAGGTAGATTTACTCACATTATCTAATTGAATTACCTCTGATTTCAACTTTCTTTTAGTTTATCCAAATTCCTGTTTAATAATGATCTCTCTCTTCCACCTCATTTTTGTCATCAGCACGTTCTTTATGGGGACACCAGTTTCTTTAAAAATCAATTCAGGAGAGGGCCTCCCCTGGTGGCGCAGCGGTTGAGTGCCGGGCTGCGAGGCTGCCCGCAGCCTCTACATTGATGGTTCATTCCCCCGGCCGCCGGCGAGGGTCCCACAGGAAAAAAAAAAAAAATCAATTCAGGAGAGTTAGTGCTGCACCTCCCCCTGCAGTGACCTTTAGGGCTAACCGGCCCTAGGTCCGGCTGGGCAACCAGCGCGCAGGGGAAGAACAGCAAAACCCTACCCCGCAGTGATCTTTAGGAATGGCTTTCGCCACGGTCCCTAGATCCGGCTGGGCAACCAGCGCACGGGGAGAGAACAGCCTGAAGCAGAGGAAGTGCAGCGGAAGTTCCCTGAAAAGGCAGAAGCTTATCAATAGATAACGACCACCAAGAACCACTACAAGAATGCTAAAAATCTTATCCCTTCTTTCTAGAACTACGAACTTTAATCCCTTATTTGTCTTTCTAAACTTCCTTCCTTCTTCTATAATGGTCATTGCTTGTTATGTAGATCACCTCCCTGATGATGATTGAGCCCATGAGCAAGCTAATTTCATTGCTATTCATTCCTGTGCTTTTGGAAAACATATATATACTGGTCACAAACTTAAAGAAAATTACACTCAGATTTTCACTCTTGAAGTGTGTCTGTTTGTCATTTCTTTTGCCGACGCCCTGACCACCCTGCACGCTTCTCTCAACCCTGAGGTGGCCTCATCGTCTACTGTCTACTGCTGTGCTGGTCCGCGGCAAGTTAGAGAAGTCAAGGGAGCTTCAAGCCACCGTGGAATGCAGACACAGCTGCTGAGTGCCTGTCTCTGCTCTGCCAGCTTGGGCCTGGGCCCCAGGAGGATGTTTTGGCAGCAGAGACTGGATGGAGGGTAGAGGATCAACCTGGGGAAATCAAAGCCATGGTCCAGATTCCATCTTCCTGTTTCTCCTCTAGAAGCAGTAAGTCCTCTCATAAGTGAGACAAGTGAGACGCACATGATTTCCTGAGAGAACCCCCACCATTTCCATATCCTAATTGACTCCGT